AGGGTGGTCCTTTCCTCGGATAGTCTCCTCACAGACATGCTCACTGGGTACTATCTGCATCCTGCCAACTCTTTCAGCAGGATAATCTGAGGCAATCTTAATGCTCACCTCATTCGTTTCCCACCTCTCAGGGATCATTGCCCTTCTTGCCCAAAATCCACTGTCTTGAAATCTTTTGCTTATGTATTTTGTTCATTCTTTGGTTGTTTCCAGAATGGGGTAAAATCAATCTCTGTTACCCCATATTGTTCAGAAGTAAAGGTCTCCATACAATTAATTTTGACAAGGCAGGGTATAAAATCAGAAATCACTCAATATCCTACTATGAAACCAAAACTTAGTAAAATTAGCTTCTGAATTATTTATTTTGCATGCAAGCCATGAGGAAAATCTGTTTTATTTACAGTTTAATTTCTAATAGTATGCTTAGTTTTGAATTATTTTTAAATGTTTCCATAAATATGTCTTATTTTGGGAAGCATTTTCTGAATATTTTTTGCAAAAGCCAAGTGTATTAAAGTAATTAAGGGTATATATGTATATGTGTGTGTGTGTGTGTGTGTGTGTATACACACATGTCCTTCTCTTAATCCATGCATTTCAAGGACATATGACAGCCTTAGAGATACCAGCAAATCCATATATATGTTATTTCTACTTTTACTTAGACAGATTTAATAAAACATGCTAGCATTATCTGAATACTAAAAATAAGATACATCCACAATGGCAGAGTGATAAAGTAAAGCAATTGTCCAAGGAAACACTAAATATAGGGGGCTTTTGTCATTATGTAATATCTACATCCTTCCTTTTCTTAGTACAAAAGGTATGTATGGAGACATGTCTGACTAAGAAAGAATTCATTTAATAACTATTATAAGAAAGGTGGAAAGTTACCTTACAGAGGAGATTATTAACTTCTGGAACAATGCAAGAAATAAATCCCACCGGGATGAAATATTTAATATCTATTGTATTTTTTTCTGGCTAAAAAAAACTGTAGCTACTTGTTTTATACCTTAAAAATCAGAATTACTCTTCCTTTATTGATAGAAATAACATTCTTTTTTAATATCAGTTTCTATACTTAAACATTTAGAAGTTACTTGATGGACAGTGTCAGAAATAAAGGGACAGGTTATTACCAAAGAAACAGGCCAATCAATCTAGGATCATCTAGCCACATCATCTAGAAACTTGTTAATTCCTTATGGAATCCATCACCACTTTGGACAAGAAACAAAATTAAATGTCATGTTATTGAAAAGTATGTGTGTGTACACATAATTATTTTCTTAATAATTTAAAGGATGTGTTCCATGGAACAAAATTGGTCCCATCATGTGATAAAAGTTATATTTAAGTACATTAACATATTTTTAACATTATTTTAACATTTAAGCACATTAACATAATTTTTAACATATACAAGTATGGGGATTAAAAATTTTTTTGCAACTAAGTAATTCAGTGATATTTGCACATTCATTTAAAAGCATCTGACACCATAATGTCAATTTGCATTATGCTAAGCTTTCTTATTTTAGGTGAAATCATGAGAAGGGTTCTGCATTGTTTTATCATATCATTTTAAAACTGACTCTGCCCTTGAGGTTAGCCTTATTTATAATAGTTATTAGTTTCTGGGGTTTTTTTTAACTTGTTCAGTAAGCATTTACTCAATACCAAGTATGAGCCTCAGACCACATATACCAATATTGAGGTTACAACAGAAATAAGACAGAGGCTATTTTTTTCTTTAAGAAACTTCATGGAAAAGTCAGTATAAGAATCACATAAGACATTGTTAAGAAGTAGATTCCTGGGCCCCATGTCCTACAGTTCAGAATCGATTGGTCAAGGGTAAGGCTTAGAATTCTTAAGGACTGAGGAAGTGAGAGAGGCCTGAACTCCAGCCTAAATTCCAACTCCTTGCTCTCCTTCCCACATAGTAGCCGGCCTGCAGGGTCAAATCTGCCCAAGAAGTGCTTTGTTCTCCTTGGCCCAGAGGGGCTTTAATGGAATGTTAAGTGGCAGTTTCCAGAGGCTAATGCGACCCTGAACCCATCACACAATTTTAGAGACAGACCTAGCAACTACAGTAGAAGAGACCAAGACTTAAGCTTCCAACTTAATAAGTAATTTACCTCTTTAAACAATAACCACATTTATTGATTTCTAATCCCACTCAGCTATCCAAGAGAAATCAGATGTCAAACATAATGGAGAATTTGTGCTTAAACATAGTTTTGTTTGAGGCTTAGTTTGCTTTTGTCTTTATATATTATATATTATTTTTATATATTATTTTATATATTATTCACATCAACAATGTTGAATAAAATGCTTGTCCACAGGTCTCCCTATGCATAAAGGCAAGCTATTTTTCTAATAAAATAATCCATTGCAAATATATACTTGTAGATAGGATGCACTTCCTTTTTGCTTTTGGAAAAGCCTGTTTTGTTGCTTTGGGAATTTTCTTGAGATTTCACCTGGAGCTTTCTTTTATAGGGCAAGGGTCCCTTTCCTAATAGGCAGAAGGCCTCTTCCCCTTTTATTCTCTTGCCAAATCCCCACAGTCTAAGCTTGAGCCATCCAGGCTCTGCTTGACCCTTCCTTCTCCCTGTCCCCCATTTTCATTCAACAGGTCGTGTATCAGCACTCTAAATACCACTCTTAGCAACTCCAGCTATAACTGCAGGCTTCAGATTATTTTTCTTAGGTCTGTGGCCTCCCACGTATCATAGCCCATCCCACCTGTCACATCTTAGTGGCTCTAACACAACGATTTTATGCTTTTATACCCATCCTTAGGGCAAGTTCTGACGTTTTCCATAACTCCTACTTTAGCTTCATCCTCGAATTACATATATGTAATCTCACATTACTTGAGTATTACATGTATACCTTACCGTGTCTCATGGATGTGTTTCTAAAAAAATGAATGTTTTATTTATTGAGTAAAAAAAAAAATGCCTGAAAGATTTGTGAACAAACTCAGAAGAAAAAAAGTGAAAAGATTTTTTAAGGAAAATATGGCTTACACTATGACAAATCATAGCCATGCAACCCAATTATTGGTAAGATGGCTTTGTATTTGTCCCTTTTCTAAAAGCACTGCTGTTTCTGGAGCAGGGGAAAAGCCATGTTTTCTTGGTGACCTTTAAGTCCCCATGTGTAAAGTCTCTGTTCTAACACTTGAAGAGGCTGTTTCCTACACTGGGTCTGTTCTGAAGGAAATCAGACAGCTATTCACCTGCTTGGCAATAGCAGGTGTCTCTGTGGGATGCCGTCGGAAACAAAAACGCTGGATTCCCCCACTGGGTGTAATTTTATGAGATCTGTAGAGAATTTCTTTATGGCCATTTTCCTGCCTGTACGTAATATATAGTGATGATTGTGGTGAAAACCATTTCTTAGAACATTTTTAGAAATCCCAAGCCTTAACAACCATAGAAGCTTAGAGCCAGCTAGGACATTTTGCACCTACTCACAAACCTTTGAAAGGAGCACGTTTTGTATAATGATATTTTCAGTAGCGTTTTATTTGACAGGAAAACACACCCTATCTTTATCTGTTTTACCTATTGTTTTGCAGTGTATCCCAGATGTTGCAATTAAAATACACATTGGTATTAATACACTCATTGACCAGCCTCTGGACTGTAGACTGCGCAAAGAGGACACCAGTGTATTCCCACTTCCCTTAAAATAATGTTCTTGAGCCCCTAATTGGCCTTTCTCTCCTGTGAGGATAAGCGTCCCTGTTTTCCCTGTAGGTTTTATGGTACCTATGTATATGACAATGAAACATGTATTACTTCAGCTGTATTGGTTTAATAGCCGTCACTATAAATACAAAATATAACTATAGGGAGGGCATTATGCAAATGAAAAGAAGCAAAGGTAAGCTGAATTTATAATTTATTAAAATCAAACAATCCTTGCAAGCCTGAATATTGTATTCAGTAACATCATACCATTGTACACTGTTCTTTATAAAAATTCAGGTAATGTCTGATTCAAAAAAACACTTGGACTTATCCTAAATGTTTCATGATATATGAAACTTCTTAAAAAAAATTGTAGCCACTATCGGACCCATGGCACACTCTGAAAGATGTCAGAAAGTAGGGCAAGCACTGTGATGCCTTTCCATTGAAGGTGCTGCCTCACTGGTGGAATCCTGCATTCTGTAACTTCCCAGTCCTAGAAGTTTTGCTGACAGGAAGTGCAACTAGGTACGCCTCAACTGAAAAGCTAACCTTAGCCTGACAATCGGTGGCCCACAATACTTCCTCAGGGTGCTAGAACCCCTTTTTAGCAGAAATGAAGGTGAAGTCCACAGGGAATATGAGGGAAGAAAGAAGAGAAAGGGGAAAATGTTGATTCCTCACCTCTCCCCATGAAAACATCATATGAAACAGTTGCAGGACGCATGAAAGGATCTCATATCTTATATTTATAAACCATAAAGTAATGGGATTCCATTTGGGAAAAAAACCATAGAACCTAAATGTACACTGTAATCACTAGATTATTATAATCAGTTTGTGACTAATATTTTTGCTTCATTTTCCATTAAGGTGACATACTTGTTTGATAATGGAGGGACGGTCTTCTTTGCTATTTTTATGGCAATATGGGGTAAGTATGTTCTTCTGTTACTTAATTGCTTGTCCCCATTTTCTGAGGCTGTTGTTGTTTCTTCACATACACACACACACACACACACACACACAAACACACACCCTGTGTATCAACCCAACGATGAGATCTCTTGCTTTGTTTGCCCTCTTCACACATTCACTGCTTCTTTGGGAATTTAACCCTTGCTCTAATCCTCTAGTCCCTAAAGCCTTGACCTTCCTATACTAAGGAGTGTATTTTTCCTGCCAAATGCAGGTGGTGATTAAAAACAAACTGAAACATACTAGAATCCAAATGATGCTGCATGTACTGCGTGTAAAAGTGATGCTCAGAAAATGTTTCGTTTGCATAATATTTCTATTTGTCTATTTTCTTAACATTACACTTTATACACTTAGAGATACAGAATCTATTCCATATATGATTGAGGAATAATATCTAATACATAATAAACCTTGTTCTTATTTAACATTTTAAGACTGTAAAAATTATGTACAGGTATATGCTTTGGCTGACTTTTTTCACCGTGTTTCCCATTGACTCTTTAAAGCACCCAATTAATTGAGTCCTAAAAGAAATCTGACAGGTTAGGATTCCCCAGCCTTTGAAGAGAACCTATCCCTTTCCCGGGTAGAGTCAGCTTTCCTACTGTGGCCCTGTTGAATGCAAAGTCATTGTCAGTCTGGCAATTCAAGGGACTGACCATGTATGTGCTGAGACAGGAAAGTAAAATGTGCTAGAGAGAAGTCTCTCACTCCCATTACCTTAGTTTCCCAGGAACAGAAACTCCAGATACTCTCTCTCTTAAGTCAAAATTTAAAAAAATTACTGTTCCAGTTTTCCTTCAAGGAAATGCCCATCTTGATGCATGAAATTAGGACAATAGGGTTAGTTAAATTACAGGCAGGGCAAGCATCATGAAACCTTTTAGGTTTACCTGATTCCCATAAACATTTCCCACTAAGAATAAAATAAACCAAAATACAAATTAAGGTTACTCGAGAGATGATTCAGCACAGCCAAACATGGTAAGAAATGAAACCTTTTAGATGATTTATCCTCTATGTTTCTGCTACTGGTCTCATACTTTTATAGTTCTCCTTGGCACAGCCACATGACAGTGATCTTGTTTCAGCTTTTGGAAGATGGGTTTGTGAAAAGACTAGGATGTAGGCGATCATTTGCCATCAGAAGCCTTTATCCCTTTAGTTTTATACTGAGGTACGAGGTTGAGGTATGTCATCCATAGGAATGCTGTCCCGTGCATTTTCTTGGCCTGCTGGCATAGATGAATCATTCACAGTTGAGTTGTAATAACTAGAATTCCCAAAACTCGCATCATAAGGTTCTGGTGCATTGTCTAATCGCAGGACTAAAAAAGTAACAAAAAAATTTATTTTATGTTGACAGTCTGGAAGATGCATGCTCAGGCATCTGCCAGACTGTAGCAATTGTTCTAGATGAGTAAGTAGATACATCTTTCATGTAGGCTTTGCAGATATTGGTTTTGAAATTTAAAATAAGTCTATATTTTTCATGACACATTTCTTTCTAAGACTAAGAGAACAGTTTAACTTCTAAAATAAATTTACTACTGGTGAACCAAAAATAAAGGAACTAAGGGAGAAATCACAACGAAAGTAGAACAGTACTTTGTATGAAGGACAAACAGACATATGTCTCATTGACTTTTGAATCTTGTGAATTCAGAGCCTTGTCAACATGTTCAGAATTTTTACTTCTGGTGTAAAAAAATAATTTTTAAAAACTGAAGAGCATTAATTTTATATCAGTGTCATTATTTTTCTAAGTGTCTCAATAGCTTTATGGTTGAGCCAAGGAAGCTGGAGATGGAAGAAAACTTTGTAAAACCTTATGTTTCTTTGTGATAGATCCTAGTTATCATGCACTTGACATTCTCTGATTAATGATATAAGATTCTTTTTTACTTTTTCAATGAACAGCCAATTCTTACTTCCTTAATGATCTTGAATTTATTTTCAAAGAAAATTTGGCACGTGCTGGGTATCTTTAAGTATTAAGGCAGTGACTAATTACTAGTTAGATTAGTGATTTATTTATTCAGTTAGGTATTCTCATATCCTACCCATTCTTTATACCTTCTGTTTACAGACTGGGTGTCCAGTAACCTTAGGGACTTGGGGGAGGTTTCTCAAAGCTCTCTTGAAGGAGAAAAGGAGGTGTTGTGATTGAGTTATTCCATTATGCCTTAATCACAACATCTTAGACTGTATCAGTTTAATAGACTGAGCTTTTGCATGTGATTACAGGTAAAGAAAAGATTCTGGGGTTAAAAAAAAAGTTTGGAAACCCCTATTGTCTGAAATTCTATCCTCTAATTTTGAAAAGTACCACTTTTTATTTTATATGGATTGCTAGAAACCCCCAAAATAGAATTCAGTTAAATTTACAGTTAATGGATTTGGTTCTGAAGGTGATTAATATGTCAGTCATGATCTGAACTTAGTAAAATCAACAAGACTTTATCAACAGGATGTACCAGGGGCATTTAACTCTTTTTTATGGTGGCAAGAGTCCTTTGTAGAACAGAAAACATTTTTTTTCCTGAAGTATAAAAAAAAAGACGAGTCAATTATTTGAAATTATTTCATTTCTGTTCTAGTTAGTATTATATTAAGAACAAATCCAATTCTTTATTTTTAGCAGACACATTTCTCATTCATAGATATTACAGTTGGTCTTTTCTGTCACATGAGTGAAAAATTCCTGCGTTATTGTGATTTGATGTACCCAAATATACGGCTTTTTATAGATTCTGTTTTAGAGACTCATTAAGATAATTGATTGAGGGCTACTGCATGTGTGTAAACTTTAGAAGAACTCCAAATTGGAATAAGTCTTTGTTCAAGTTACTGCTGCTAAGAGATCCAACAATGGCAGAGAATATGGCTCTGCAGTTACTTGCTAACAAAACTGGCCATTTTTTTTCCTCAATGGCATACCATTCTCTTCCAGTTCTATAGACATGTTTTAGGTTCTGGGATTTGGTTTATTTAAAACTAATTGTTTTGCAGTGAGCCACAGTTCCAAATGGCTTTAAAATTCCATCCACAGGTCCATAAGTATTTTGGTTATGTTCTTTGAGAAACAGAGAGTAGATCAGAATAAATCTTTAGTCTGTTTCTGTCATATAAATTTCCAACTCCCTTCTAGATAATGTAGTGAACATGGGCATCCTCATTTAATTAAAACCAGCGTGTGCAGGTGAGGTCCTAAAAGTTGCTTTTACCTGGTTCATTTCTGTCATCGTAAAGTCTCCGATGGGAAAATGAATCCATTTTCCTTTTTCCACACAGCAAGTAGCCAACAAGACTAAGCAATGAAGCACCCAGAATAGCACCTAAGATGGTCCCAAATACTACTCCTGTATTTTTATTCTCTAGAGAACAAAGAAAAAAATAATTAACAGATAAAGAAATAAAAAAAATTTTTCAAAGAAGAGAAATATATACATTGGACTTTCTTTATAACAAAGAATGTTTAAAGAATATTGTTTTTTAATTAGATAATGGTGATGTGTGTGTATTTTGTCAAGTGCTGAGTATTTGGGATATATTGGGAAATATACCTCCTGATAAAACCATACTTCAAATTTTTAATTACGTTGAAATACTTCTTAGCTTCATAACTGTCTCTCATTCCTTTTTTAAGAACAATAGTACTGAAATACCATGTGTATGCTCCATTAAGATCTAATTTCTATGTTGAGTGCTATATTAAGTTTTTAATCAACTCTGAATCTCTAATAAACATTAATGATGAAATGAACCTTGAACTTGTTTCTATAATAACTGAAAAGTAAAAAGCTAATGGGAATAAGTGGGTGATAGAAAATGAATCCACAAAACCCCAAATGAAAAGGCACTATAAGGGAAAAGCAGTATATCCTGATATAGGATATTTCCAGATACAGTAGATAGACCAAAGCAAGATGTTTGCAGTGTCTTGCACATTGAGAACAGATGTGTAGGTCTGAGTTTAAGGGAGCCCAAAATTTTACTCTATCATCCCTTTTTACTAAGTACTTTATTTGAAGACTAAGGTCGTTATTAACAAATTATGTATTGCTTCCTGAACTCATATTTAGTGTATTGTATTTTCAGAGTTTTTTAAAAATTTCATGAGAATGTTATTAATTAAGTGGGCAAGGGGTCTTATAAAGTCTGTAATTCTATATTAAAACCCATTGATAAAAAAATTAACCTACACACTAGAAGCTTAACAGCAAAATTACTACTAAAATAAAAGCAAAACAAAGTCAACTAATTTTCTTTTGATTAAAGAGCAATGGTGGGCATAAGTACTCTGTATTCTTAGAATGTATGTTGAGTTTAGAGAGGCAAAAGAGAGAGAATATTTATTAAAAATCTTTCTGACGTAGGGGTGCGTGGGTGGTTCAGTCAGTTAAGTGTCTGGCTCATGATACTGGCTCAGGTCATGATCTCACTCTTGTGAGATCGAGCCCCACGTGGGGCTCCATGGTGAGTGTGCAGCTGCTTTAAGATTTTCTTTCCTTCTTCCCCGCCCCACTGCTCTGCTTGCACTATCTCAAAAAAAAAAAAAAAACAACCTCTTTCTGATGTAGTATCAGAGTATGTATGAATGAAAGGACGCGTTAAAATTATAGCTAAAATGAAAATATATGTACTTACAATCTATTAGCTGCAGTGCTATTATAAAGCCTAGATTTCAAAATTTAAAACTTTTCCTGTACACTAACAACTTTCAAGTAGGAATTTGTACATATGATTTGGTGTTTACATCATTAATATAATCTGAAAGTAGGTTGTATTGCAAGTCATTGGATTCATGGGGGAAATAAGAGTATTTTCACTCATATGTAGAATTTAAGAAACAAAACAGATGAACATATGGGAAGGGAAAAAAAAAGAGAGAGAGAGAGGGAAGCAAACCATAAGAGTCTCTTAAGGATAGAGAACAAACAATTTTGCTGGAAGAAAGTGGGTGAGGGATGGGCTAGATGGGTGATGGACATTATGGAGGGTACTTGTGATGAGCACTGGCTATTATATGTAAGTGATGAATCACTCAATTCTACCCTTGAAACCAATGTTACACTATATGTTAACTCACTAGAATTTAAACAAAAACTTGAAAAACAAATTTCAGGGAAACAAAACCTTGGGTAGACCTGAAAAAATAAAACATGATGAATTTTCATTAAATATTAGAGATTTTTTCTGTTTTATGTTTTAAAGCTTGACATAATCCCTAAGTCAAACATAAAAATGTTCCTATAATATGCTTTTCTTGTGATACTCACAGCTACATTCCATTTTTATGGTGTTCAATAGGTACTAAACTAAAAATTCAGGAGGATTTCCTTTTGTTGAGTTTATTTACATTTAAAAAAAATCAGTGTTCTGTTTTCCTGTGATTGCTATGTGGTATCAGATAATTTATAAATTCATTTATTTCATTCAATTTTCACATATATATATTTTTAAAGTTCAGTTGCATATTGTTCCTAAAAGCATGGGACATTTCAGGCAGTTTTCTCAGATTCAGTGAAAATCATTGCCCAGTATCTCAAAACTGTACTACTACCTCAACCTAACCTTCCTCCAATTTTGTCCTGCTGTCTCATCATGTTCCCATATAGTAATGACTACTGTATGCTGACTGAAGCCTGATAATCCCTTCACTATTTCCACTGAATATCATGGTTGCCTGTCAAAAATGAGAACCACCTGTGCTGCTGTAGTCCTTTTTTTTCAATATGGTACATTCTTTAGTTGTAATCTGCATGACTTAGTTCGAGATTCAGTTTCACACAAAAGGAAAGTTAAATCCATTTATATTTACCTTCTTGGGGGTCTGATGTATTTGAGATTTTTGAATTATTGGTAAACTTTAAAGTGGGCTGTAGAGTTGTTGTTTCTCGGTACGGGGTAAACCCTATGAAGCTATCATTGGATGTGGTGAGCCATTCTTCTGGTTTTGTTATCATGGGGGTCACAGACGTGGTGTTTGGTGCCGTGGGGAGGATGCTAACTGAAATGGAACTGTTGCCAGGAGTTTTTATGGTATCACTGGCTGAAGACCAAGTGAACTTTTCTGAAGATATAGCAGATGTAGCTTTGGGAGGTGCTGAGACTGGAAGAGGATTTTCATCTGCTATGGATGAGTTCCAAGGCAATTTAGAAACAAAGCTATGGATCAGAGGAGAGCTTGTGGGAGACGTAGGCATGGGTCTTGGATTCCTAGAAAAGTTGTTTGTTGACGAATTGCTGAAGACTTCTGTTGTTCCATGGCGTTTATTTAATGGGTCCCAAAGAGAGGAATTACTTGCCTCGGGATTGGAGGTTTCTCTATTTTCTTTATCTGAGCTTAAATTTGCATCACTTTCCAAAGGAACAGATTCATTTTCCATTGTTTTTAGGTCTGCTGCAATGCTTTGTGTTGTGTTTCTTTCTAGACTTTCTTTCCCATGACTTCCAATTAATAGTAAACTAAACACATTTGAAATCAACAGAATTTTGGCTGAGGTCAACATAGTAGCCTTTTTTAGTATTGGTGTTATTAAGGAGAATCTGAAAAAAAAAAACAAATAACAAGCATCTGAATTATTAAATGAAGTAGTGATTTTTTAAATGGATCTACATCTTTAAAGTAATAAAAATCTAGAGATATAATACTGAATTGATAATATCATACTTTTTATTCCAAAAGTTAGTTTTCTTTGGATTATATACTAAACCTAGAGTGAGTTCTATTTTCTGTATAATATTTATTTCTTCTTTCTTCTAAGGAAATGCCATGCAAAAACTTTGTCAAGCCACATACTACTATTCCACTATTTCAAAGATCATTTAGCTTTTGACAAGTTGAAATATTTATATATATTTGAGATATTATATATGGATTGCTAAGTAAAATATTTTAAATATAGGGCATGTAGAGCTGGCTGATTTCTTTAACCTGTTTAAGAAAATATGTTTTTTATAAAGATACAATTTGGAATGTTTATTATGAAAATGATGTTACTGATTATACTCTAAACACGTAATACCAGACCTTAAAAATAGCAGGGACCTCCACTTGAAAACATTTTATTAGTGCCTAATGTGAGTTTTTTGAATTTTAAATCAATATCCCTTTTTTTCACAATAGTTTTCATGATGCCCTTCTTCCTATTAATCCAAAATTAGGGAAAATCAGGAAGACTCTCAGATTTCAGGATATTCTTTCCTTATATTCCCTTATTATATAAATGAAACATCTGGCTGGGAGAATGTGTAGAAAAAATGACATAGTTAGATAGTAGGAGAGTTGAGGTTGAAACCCTGGTCCAGACTTTTAATCCAGGCATTATCATTCTGCCTCTGAAATGTGGAAGTGCCACAATTCATAGATAGGAGGATATGGAGGAAAGATTTTAAAATTAGATTTATATTAAAATTTTGACTTCTATTATGAATAACCTGTGAAAAATAATCAACATAATGAGAACTTACTTTGTCATCATCATCATAATCATACTGACATCACAGTGTTCTGAAGACTAAATGAAATGATGTATGTAGAATTACTCTAATCAATACCTGGCCTAAAGTAAGCAGCCAATAGACATTCCATTTTATATTATGAAAATATAATAATATTGCTGTAAGTGCCTTACAGCTCAGAAAGTTTGCAATATCATCTCACTTGATCCTCACAATGATCCCTTGCAACAACAAAAAAATAGCTTGTATATCCTTATTTTGCAAAGGAAGAAACTGAAGTTCAGAGTGGCTAGTAATGGCAGCTAGTGAATGGAAGAGAAGCACTGAAATCCAACTCTACTGACTTCAACCTAGTTAGATGCTAAAATCTGAAATGTCTAACCTAATGATGTAGTATACATTGGCTAATTGAATTTAAATAAAAAAATAAATAAAATTTGAAATATCTTTAATATAAAAAATATTCCTTTAAAAATGTTAGACTGTTTCTCCTCAAACAATAAAGTCTGACAACTGATTTCCTATTCTTTGAATTGGATCTTAGAGCTTATTTTTCACTAAAAACCTCCAGGATGACTAAGATAAGAAAAGGGAGAATGTGCACCTGCTATTTTTAAGGTCCAGTATTACGTGGCATTTCTTAAAAGCTCTCCCAGAAATGTTTACAATTATGTTCAACCTTGAGTTTTCATTAGGGTCTGAGGAGCCTCTAAATACTCCCTCTGATTTTCTTTTGGATTTAAGTGCCCCCTTCCTGCTTAATGATATACTTAAATATATTTATAATACATCCTGATACATACTTTTCTCCAAAAGCTTTTAGTAATTAGTCCATACCTGTGGATTCCCAGGGCTTTTGAAATGTAATATCTTCCATGCCCTATGCTTATCACTTAAGTAAATTCTACTTAAAAGGCAAGGCAGGGGTGCCTTGGTGGCTGAATGGATTGGGTGTCTGACTCTTGGTTTTGGCTCAGGTCATGGTCATGAGATCGAGCCCTGCCCCCGGCTCCGCCTTTAGTGCAGAGTCTGCTTGAAGATTCTCTCCCTCTGCCCCTTCCTGACCCCTAGAATAAATAAATCTTCTGAAAGGGGACTCTGTATACTCCCGATATTCTGTTTCTTGATCTGGTAGGAATTACATAGGTGTTTGTATTTGTGATATTGTCTGTTTATATTTCATTCACTTTTCTGTGATGGTCAAGAAAATGGATTTAGATCCTAAAAATTGTTAACATCATTGGAAAACATATTACTACTCTGCTTTTATTAAATCAGCTGCTTCACACATTTTCTCATTTAATTCTTACCCAAAACAATCAAACAAACAATGAGGGAGGGATTATCAGTCCTGTTTTACACATAATTAAATGGGACATTAAAAATGTAAACAGTGTGGGGTGTCTGGGTGGCCAAGTCAGCGAAGCCTGCAACTCTTGGTTTTGGCTCAGGTCGTGATATCAGGGTCCTGAGATGGAGCCCCATGTGGGCCTCCGCACTCAGTGCAGAGTCTGCTTAGGACTCTCTCTCCCTCGCCCTCTTCCCCTCCCCTACCTCTCTCTAAAATAAAACAATAAATTGAAAAGTGTCAAGGACACAGAGTAGTGACAGAGATCGGGTTAGGATTCAAACCTCGGCATTAAAGCCAGTCATCACTCATCTGTGAAAAAGAAGTTACAAAGGAATATAGAAATTGATTACAAGGGAATATAGAATTCAGCTGCTTTTTAGAACTTCTTCCCATCAACATTTTTTTAGCACAGCTTCTCCAAATTTTATTATTCTACTCAAAGCAGTTTATAATACCATTTTTTTAAGGATTTTGTTTATTTATTTGACCGAGACAGACACAGCAAGAGAGGGAACACAAACAGGGGGAGTGGGAGAGGGAGAGGGAGAAGCAGGCTTCCCACCGAGCAGGGAGCCCGACTCAGGGCCCAATCCTAGGACCTCAGGATCATGACCTGAGCCAAAGGTAGATGCTTAACAACCGAGCCACCCAGGCGCCCCAATAATACCATTGTTTTAAATACTGGAAAAATAGGGCCTTCTACCTTAAGTACCCCTCAGACACACTAAATACACCTTTACGCTAATTTAAGAAAATCCCAACAATTGTTTCTATGATTCTAGGTGGACACCTTTAGCATGTAGTTTACAAATTAACAAACGTTATCATCCCCAGGACCTCTAGTTCACCAACACATTATTAAACTGATACCTCACCCAGCACATTTAAAATACAATTCAATTTAGTTTAAAAATACTTCCATGTATCTTTTCAGAAAAATCCTTCTCCTGTGAACTCTGTCAAGTTCATAGTAAACATTAGAGCCTTTTTCGTTATCTAATTCCAGTTGTCCCATTAAATTTATGAATTGTACTTAGCCACCCATTGTATCATTATTATACATTTTGATTTGTTTTCCCTTTGTGGTTATTTTCTCTTCCTAATGAAGTGGTCACCAGAAGGGAAAAAAACAGACCTTAGCTGTTCTAATTTTCTCATGTTACATGAGGAACGTGGTATTGAGCTTTCACTCCCTTCCCGTAATGAGAATCCACATATCAGGAGCCAGCAAAGTGAGTTTTGTTGTTCCTGATTCACTTTGTAACATTGAGCCACCAACGGGATCTCTCTACCCTTCACCCAGCTTTTGATTGTAACTTGAAAGGTATTAATACCCCAAATGAGCCAAGCGTTCTGTTACTGCCTATAATTTGTCTCCAGGGAAAAGAGAGAAATGGAAGAGAGGGATGATGTGTGTTGTGAATACCATTTGCAGTTTATTCCAAAAATAATACAGTTATGGGTAAGGCTTTTGTGAGAATTGGTTTATTCCTGCTATCCTGGCCTGACAGTGGAGGATAACTTTGCTTCTGCTTCTTAGCTTCCAAGAGAAAGAGGTTACACCTCTCCCTCAGGTCTCTTCATCTTAAAGGGATAGAAGCCACCGGGCATTGAAACCATCAGCTATTCAGAACCCCAGCCCTGGGCTTTTGCTGGACAAGGACTAGAAAATTTTGGTTAAGTTCAACGCTATTCTGAATTGAAGAAAACACGTTGTAAGCCCCAAAGGCTAATGGAGGTAGTAAGAAGTTCCGAAGGGCAATAAAAGAAATCTGTGCTCTTTCTCTTTGCACTTTGCTCTCGGCCTCTCTCCATCTTTAGAGTTTAAATATTTAAAGTATGTTGTATACTCATTGTGTAAAGTTATGCTGGATGATGGTTGGCATGCTTGTGTGTGCCCAAGTTCATCTGTCAGCCAGGTGCACTGTGAAGGCAGACAAAGGTGGGACCAAAGAAAAGTGCAATTGAGGAAGGAGAGTAAATCAGGAGAACCCGGTAGCATCATTTTCCCTACTGTTCTTTTTGCCCTTTCTGGCACCTAGGTAGAAACTTTAGAGAGGAAATTTGAGGGTGTAGAACATAGGAACAGAGCTAAGATCATTACAAACTTGAAAAACTTCTAAGACTAGAATTTTTATAAAGGGAACAGAAAAAAAGCGGGATTTCCACCCATTTTGCGATACTTTAAACACAGACTCTAAACCGTTCTGTATATATTAAACTATTTTTATTGTTTCTGGTATTTAACAAATTTTAAAATATACTTTCAGAGGGTGTGCGTTGCACTATTTTTTTTAAAAAAATACTCTATGCAGAGCAAATGAACATAGTTTTCTCCCCTGTTTTTGGTGTCAGCACTAAAAAGTGGTTTCACATTACGACTTTTGTACGGAGGGCTGCAGAAAGGGTGAGAGAAACACAACCATCATGACCATTAAGGGAAGCAAGTCCAGACTCTCTGCATAATTCTGCTTCCCCTTCAATGCATAGAGTCATTATTCTGCCCAGCCTTCTTGTTATAACTGAGCCATACCCATTTTATATCAAGCCTTTAAAAATAAGGTGGTACCCTGGTTTGTATCAGGTAATCAATCTATGCAAGGGAAGAGAAATGCTAGTCAATCACAATCTGAACTTTTAAATTACAACATTAGTTCAGTGCACTGAGGGGATACTATAAAAACATGTTTCTGCAGTGAAATAACTAAACAGTACATAGAATGTGCTACTTCTCTCTCAGTTGCTTTTGCTCATTTTTTATCATAGATCCCAGGCTACAGGTTAAGACAGATGGGTTTTGTTTTTCTTTGTAATAGGAAATTCAGTCTGACATTAGCCAATATCCCAGGCAGACCCTGTTACTCTTGAGTGGCCTTTACAATCTTGAACAGTATTTTGCTTTTCGTAAATGAAAGAGCTTCAATAAATGAGGGCATAATGAACTATGCTTCTAGAAATGCCTCTCTTAATAAGAGGGTTTTGAAAGGATGAGAACATCTAGTAGCCAGAAAGAAGAATTGTACCTGAGGACCCTAGACATATCATTTCACTTTTATTTGAGTTAAAAAGAGAAGAAAGACAAGGCTTTCCTTCAGGAAAAAAAATTTCAAGTTGGTGAACATAATTCTAATTAAAAGACTGGGGTATGCAGAAATCCAGGAAAAATATGTAGAATGTCATACTCCCTGCTAATTTGAGCATTGTTAGTCATAATCTTTAGTACTGAAATAATTAGGTGGAAGAGTATCAAGCTTAGAAAGAAAAACTGTCTCCAGAATATTCTGGACTCAGATTCCCAAGCATGGGGTTTTCAGCCTTCTATTATATTTCACTGTAGAAAATCCCTCCTTGGATCAAATAGAAAGTGCTAAACAGTAAATCAACATCCCTTTAATTAAAGGAGACTTACATAGCCACAAACCGAAAATAATTTTAAGAAACTTGATCCACAACGTCATTCCATTAAGATGTGTTCTGTAGCAACTGACTTAGCCATTCAGATTTCCAATGAGCACCAGATGTACACACATAACATGCTAAGTGAAATAGTTACACAACATTTTGCCAATTTTTGATTAACAAAATCTTTGGAAAAGATGTATGGAAGCTAGTAATTCATTGTATTCAAATACTGTTTTTCAAAAACTGTCATATTAATACTTTGGCAAGATCCTTAAAGCCCAAATGCGTAATTTAAATCTAAATAATCAATTCATATTTATGCGATTTCCACTTTAAACATCGTGAAACTTTCACTAAGATCTGACTTACGGCAACTCTCTCTTGTAGTCATGTACATTTTAAGTAAGGTTTTTATTTAACTCTGCAGCTGGTTTCATCATTGAGCAAATTTGGAAGTAATTCCTAAGGCTAAGTCACTTAGTGCAAATGCTCATTTGGGAGGTTATTAATGAGAGAACTACCTGTTTTTATAAGGGACTCCGTAGCTACTTGCCAGAGAGTTCTGTCAAAAGTTGAGCCTGCTTTGATTCTCTCTGGGAAATAAATAAAAGAGACAGAGAGGGAAGGAGAAAGGGAAAGAGGAGAAAAAAGGGAGAGAGGGGGGGAGAGGGGGAGAGAGAGAGAGAGAGAGAGAGAGAGAGAGACGGGATCCTAGGTAACCCAGTCCACACTTACCTTCAGGTTCTGGAGGTATTTACAAACAGGAACTAAAATATCATAGACAGCTGTCCTGGCTGGAATGAGTCTGCCGAGCATTAGAGAAAGCAGATGGGTTAAGTATGACAATGTCCCACTGAGCAGGAGGGTGTCAGAGAAACAAAATTAGGTGGAGCTGGCTAAATCTTGCTTGTGTAATAGAGCACCCAAGAACCTGACTGACCTGCTTCTGTCAGCATGAAGATAGCACCTCATTCAGACCTTAAAAAAAAAAAAAAAGCCCAACCCTCCAGGTTTCATAGGTTGATCGTTTTGACTTCAGGGCAGGCTAGTTCTCTTGAGCAGTGGCAGAACAAGGGGCATCCATTTCCTGCCCTAAATGAAAAAAAAAAAGGACAAAGACTTTGGTAACGTCCCCCCCCCCCCCCCCCCGGTGTATCAGGAATTTCTGGCACATGCTGGATTCGCCCTTTGCAGGTGAGGAAACCAAAATGACTCATGCCCTGCACCTGTTACTCCGTGTGAGCCCCATGTTGTTCTCCTATATCATAAACAAACCTGTCTTTCCCATAGTAGGATGCCCTCTTTGTGTACCAAAAACCTGAATGGAGAAAATACAGTGGTGAGGGGCCTTGTCTGCAGTACACTGAAATCAGTTTTATCGAAAGTCATACTTAACACAAAGTGAATTAACGTGTATTGGCATCCTGGAGAAAGCTGTGAAGCATTCAGTTAGAAATAATCACCAGAATTGAGATGGGCTTTCTTGCTGACTTTCAGGAGTTTGGGGAGTCAGGGGGGCCTGTGTGGGAATGGCCACATGATCCTAAGCAATCCTGAAAGCCTTGTCAATTAAGCTCTTTCCCTCCTGTGTTCTCTTTGCTTTTACCCTCAATTTAGAAGCTGGAGAGTTTCACAAGTGCCCAGGTAATGCCTGATTAAATACTGGAGTTGAATAACAACCTGGCATGCTTCCTTCACTTCCTTCCACAGCTTATGAAAGGGAGCAGAGTGAAACTGCACTTTCTGGGATATTCTGCACACCAGTATTTGGGGGCTGGTGCCAAGGCCCGTTCAGCTCAGTACGTCTGAGGTTCACGCTTAGTTTCTGTTGTGCAAGGAGGTAGGTTTCCAAAGCCTGGGAGAGAAAATGAAACTTTAGCTAAAGTATAGGACTTTCAAATTGAATGCAAAGAATCTGCCCAGTTAATTGGTCCCAGGAAAGAACAAGGTAATGCTAGTTTTAAATTTTCTGAGGTCAAAGCCCCCTTCAGAGTATGATTAGAAATTAAGCCAACCCCTAAAAGAAAAGTGTTTACTCAAAGGATATTTAAGCTGTATCTGCACTGGTATGAAGAAAAGCAAGGTGAATTTAATCAAACAACTGGTTATTGCGCAATGGCTTAATAGAATTCAATTGGTTATTTTCAGATTAGTCAGTTACTAGGAAAAAATCCTACTGACAAAATATTTTCTGTCTACTTAGAGATCTGAATATGACTTGGCAGGGTTGGGTGTGCCATGCCCTTAGGGATTTTCCTAGATATGTGTATGAGTATCATTACCACTTTCTGACTTGACCATGGTAATTATGACCTATGCCAGGCATGGAAATTACAAGGTACTTTTGCTACAACTCTCTGCTTTCACTGTGTAAGAGTCAAATCTCATCTCCCATGAACCCCTTTTCTGGAGACTGTACCTGTGGCCTCAGAATCCTCTTCATCATTGCCCTCCTGACAACCATAACAAATTGGTTAGAAATGACCCTAGAGATAAACCCTATTTACCCTCCCTGTCATGAGCACATCTGGAAGTAAAGTCATAAAATAAGAAGTATGCATGCATTTAATGCCTCAGTGGTTACTTAGCCCACTTACTTGTGATCAGAAATCTTTGTGAAATCACCTGAGTTGGAGTTAAAAAGTAATTTCTTGGGACGCCTGGGTGGCTCACTCGGTTAAACGTCTGCCTTCGGCTCAGGTCATGATCCCAGGGTCCTGGGATCGAGCCCCGTATCAGGGTCTCTGCTCAGTGGACAACCTGCTTCTCCCTCTCCCTCTGCCTGCCGCACCCCCTGATTGTGCTCTCTCTCTCTCTGTCAAATAAATAAATAAAATCTTTTTAAAAAAAGAAGTAATTTCTTGCCAAACAAACAAGTCTCCGTGAGGTACATTCCCAAGTATATACCATGGTCTAGGTAAGACCAATCCCGTTTTGGCCCTTGTTTCTCCGGGTGAACTGAACGATAAGGGACAACTAGGTGGCAATTTAGTCAGCCAGGCAAGCTGAGATGACACATGGTACAATGCCTACATAATTATTTTGTACTTACTTGCTATGGTACCTTTCATCTGGCCCTCTCCAATTGCTTCACACCATTAAGTCTCACAATACTTATTGGAAGAAGTATTATCTTCTCTTTGTCTGAAAACAAGTGGAGTTACTAGAACGTGAAGTTACATTATTGCCACTGATGGGTTTGAAAATAGAACCAGAATGTAACTTGGAACCATGCCTCAAATAAAAATAAAACATTGCTCTGGATCCAAAATGGCATCCATTGTATACAAATCCTATAGCATCACATGCCTGATGCTGATGCCACATATAGGGAATTTGTTGCCATAGATCAAATCCATTAATAGCAGGTTCTGAGTTTGAAATGCGATATAAATTGAATTCATGTTTTATCTCCCCACAGGAGCATGGGCACTTTAAGAAACAAACATTCGGGGCTTTGGGTCCCCTCCTCCAAGCCTAGGCCCAGGAAAGGGAGCTGAGGCCTAGTCTTGTGCCCCCTACTAGGCAAGACACAGGGAGTTGGTACTTGGAGTTAATTGCCACTGTGTTATCAGGGTTTACTTTTTTGCCCATAGGGGCCCTTGGTCCACTTGATTTCTTTCCCTGTTGCTAGAGGAACGAGCGCTTGAAATGTTTGTTACTGCAGAAAATAAAACTGAGCTACCAAAAAAAAAAAAAAAAGAAAGAAACATTTGCTTAATAATAAAACAAATGACATCATGGTTATATTATTTGAGGATAATTTAATGATATTCTTCAGAAATACAATGGAAATTGATGGCTGGAAAATTTCCTTATGGTTGGTAACATTTGTTTCAATATTCTATTAGAAGAGAAATAGAGGGATTATTCTCATGAGCTAACAATTGTTTAACATAAACTCATCTTTTTTCCTAAGTCATGTGGTATTATAATATGGTCTTCTTCACTTAACAATAACTTTATGGAAAGATTAAATGCTCTATTTTGTTGCTAAGGACATTCTGCAACAATGCCCTTTGTTAAGTACAAGTTGTGACATAGCATTTACATATATGCAGGTGTGCATACTTGCGTGCATACCTACATAAAATGGGGAGCTAAGGAAGGTTGTAAAAACCTGATTTAAAAAAACATGATAAATCACATACAAACTAATTCAGCTGTAGTTCAGAGAAGTAAACAACATAACTATAGCAAAACATGTTGCATTCCTATCTGCATATTTATGTGAAGATGTTTGCTTAGTAAATATCCTCGTAAAGACAAAGGATTAACATAGAGTTGATGCTGAAACCTCTCATTGTAACAAGAAGTAATACGTATCCATGGATACCTGAACCAATTGAAAACATTCAAAGAGCCCACTGATATCCTTGAGAGATGTGTTTATAATAAAATCTTAGATTTTATGTTTAATGTCTATTAAATTTTGGACTAAATTTTCTTGTTTTGTTAATCATAATGATAACTCAATCCAGATTTTTTAAAAGAGCCTCATGTTAACAAGAAATTTTAAAAATTATTTTAATTTCTTTTTCTTACTCCTCAAATGACAATAGCTAGTTTTATTTTCTAATTTTTTTTGTTAGAAGTATGAAAAGATAATGAATACTTTCAGACAAAATATAAAGGATAATATTCTGAGGTAGAAACAACAGAAAACAGAGGTAGATTTAAAGATACAATGAAACAATTAAAATTTTACAATAGTAGGAGCTTATAGCAAGTGTATATTAAAGGGATAAGAGTTAAGTATAAAAGACTAATATAAAAGTTATATTTTAAAATGTCAGTTTTTTATAATGCACTGGAAATGACATCTTTTGCAAATATTTACACATGATAAAAAAGAAATTTTGAATGTCCTCATAAAATTATACAAAAGGATAAACAATTCTACAAAATGATTTTTAAAGCTTATACAAAAATTTTGAAGACCACTGATTTAGTGTGTTACATTTTCACTAATTTCTAAATTATGCTTAAACTTCAAGCTGTTCATAGATACAGAATATTTGCTTGGACATTTTTCTGTGTTAATTAGGCCCTGACACATTAGTAGTTCCCTATGCCTTTTTATCTCCCGTTCCAGTTCCATCAAGGAAAAAAAACAAAAAGAGCCAGAGAGAGAGTGGGGAGTATTGCTAAAAGGTGATGGAGACATTTTGAAAGCAAACACTAACTTCCTTAGAGCATTACCATCGCAGGCATTGTCACACACTCGGCATATGTTACCAGAATAGCTTTGTTAGCATGGGGTAGCCCCACCGAATCTTTATTCAATGTCAGAACTCTGGGGCTCTTCCTCTGCTGGGTTCTGCAGGCTCATAATCACCCAGAGAGCACTGCAAATGAAGGAAAGGCTCAGGCTACCAACTCACAATTTTCTTGTTGAATCCTGGCTTTGCCAACTTACTGGTTTCATAACCTTGCCTAATCACCATCCCATCTCCAAGACTTGCTTTCTCATTTGTAAAATAGCAAAAGTGACACCTACCTCCTAGTCACCTGTGGGGAGTCAATGAGGTAAGGTAGATAAACACTTGGTAGGGCTCAATAACTATAGTTATATGATAACTATAATAATTTTTGTTTAGAGATGGCAGAAATTAAAGCTTCAGCATCAATGTGAACAGAAGTTGAGATGAGTCGAACCAAACGTGGAAACACTTATATTAAATTACTTTGAGTTTGTGTCTATACCTTGGCACATAGTAGTTGCTCAATAAATAGTAATTGAGTGAAAAATGAAATAATTCAGAGCGCCTGGGTGCGTGTTTGCCTTTGGCTCAGGTCATGATCCCGGGGTCCTGGGATCTAGCCCCATGTCAGGGTCCCTGCTCAGCGGGGAACCTGCTTCTCCCTCTCCCCCTGCTTGTGCTCCCTCTTTCTCTCTCTGTCAAATAAATAAATAAAATCTTTAAAAAAAAGAAAGAAAAGAAAAATGAAATAATTATTCTCCAATTTCAATTGATTTTTTTTTTCCTGACAGA